AGCCTTTTGTACTTGTTCCCTCAACTTGGAATGCTCTTTCTTCAGATTTCTTTTTTCTTTTCTTTTTTTTTTTTTTTTTTTGAAACAAGAGTCTTGCTCTGTTTCTCAGGCTAGTCTAGAACTCCTGGCGGGCCTCAAGTGATACTTCTGCCTTGGCCTCCCAAAGTGCATGAGACAGTGCCCCCTCACCTTCGTCAGATTTTTACTTAATTTTCTCTTAGATCTCAGCTCAAATTTACCCCTATAGGGAAGCCCTCCTAGTGAAAACACAGCCCCATCATTTATCCCCTCTTCCTGTTTTTTCATTCTTCTTAACATTTAATACCTCTTAAAATCATATAATCATTATGTATTTATTTATTTAAGACAGAGTTTCACTCTGTTGCCTAGGCTGGAGTGCCATGGCGTGATCTCCACTCACTGCAACCTCCACCTCCCTGGTTCAAGTGATTCTTCTGCCTTAGCCTCCCGAGTAGCTGGGATTACAGGCTTGTGCCACCATACCTGGCTAATTTTTGAATTTTTAGTTACAGACAGGTTTTCACCGTATTTGCCAGGCTGGTCTCAAACTCCTGACTTCAAGTGATCTGCCCACCTTGACCTCCCAAAGTGCTAGGATTGCACACACGAGCACCATGCATGACCCATATTGTTTACTTTTTTAATTTTTGTCTGTCTCTCTCAGTAGAATATAAACTTCATTAATGCCTAGACCTTGTCTGTGGTAGTCACTATATTTCTAAAATCTAGAAAAATATATGGCACATGAGTCCAAGGTATGTCTAATTCCTTGTCTCATGAAAGATTTGTATTATACAAGTTCTGAGTAGGGTGGGAGCCGTGTGTTTGTATAGGCTAGGCATTTACATGGAGCAGCTTCAAGCAGGTACTTTAAAGATTAATTGGGTGCTCGCTTCGGCAGCACATATGCTAAAATTGGAACAATATAGAGAAGATAGCAGGCCCCTGCGCAAGGATGACATGCAAATTCATGAAGCATTCCATATTTTTACTAGAAATACCATTTGACCCAGCTATCCCATTACTGGGTATACGCCCAAAAGATTATAAATCATGCTGCTATAAAGACACATGCACACGTATGTTTATTGCGGCACTATTCACAATAGCAAAGACTTAGAACCAACCCAAATGCCCGTCAATGATAGACTGGATTAAGAAAATTGTGGCACGTATATACCATGGAATACTATGCAGCCATAAAAAAGGATGAGTTCATGTCCTTTGTAGGGACATGGATGAAGCTGGAAACCATCATTCTCAGCAAACTATCACAAGGACAAAAAACCAAACACCGTATGTTCTCACTCATAGGTGGGAATTGAACAATGAGAACACTTGGACACAGGAAGGGGAACATCACACACCGGGGCGTGTTGTGGGGTGGGGAGAGGGGGGAGGGATAGCATTAGGAGATATACCTAAGGTAAATGATGAATTAATGGGTGCAGCACACCAACATGGCACATGTATGCATATGTAATGAACCTGCACGTTGTGTACATGTACCCTAGAACTTAAAGTATAATAATAATAATAAAGTATAATAATAATAAAAGATTAATTGGATATGGGTGATAATGGGAGGAATTGAAAACATCTGAGATGTCTGTTTATAGAAGTAGTTCCTCAGTCACCTGGAGGTGGGGGCTATGAGGGGAGAGAAACAGAAATTATAGTCTTCTAAAGGTAGATGGGGGCAATCAGAGGAGCCAGTTGACAAGGCTGGGTTTTAATCGTTTTGATTTTTAGAAAAAATCATTTGTTACAAACATGTCTTCATCATAGATTTCAAGGTACAAAAATAAGGTTGGTAAAGTATTCTGAATACTTAAGAGAAGAAAAGTTTTGATGGTGGCGGTTGCATCACCAGTGTTAATACTTGTAGAGAAGGCAAGGATGATGAGAACTGAGGGGGAAAAGACCTTTTTTTTTTTTCCCCTGAGACAGTTTCACTCTTGTCGCCCCGGCTGAAGCGCAGTGGCATGATCTCAGCTCGCTGCAATCTCCGCCTCCCAGGTTCAAGCAATTCTCCTGCCTCAGCCTCCCAAGTAGCTGGGATTACAGGCGCCTGCCACCATGCCTGCCCAATTTTTGTATTTTTAGTAGAGATGGGGTTTTACCATGTTGGCCAGGCTGGTCTTGAACTCCTGACCTCAGGTATTCCGCCCAAAGTGCTGGGATTACAGGCATAAGCCACTGTGCCTGGCCCGGAAAAAGACTTTTGAATTTGGTTATTAGAAGTTTATTAGAAGTTTATTGGGTACACAGTTCGAGTTAGAGGAAGAAGCCAATTATAGAGTGTTAAAGAGAACATAGATGCCGTGTGCTCTTCAGAGTATGTTTTTGTTAGAAAGATGGTTCTGCAGGGACATCACTTAAATCACATATAACAGTATCTTGTATCCCTAATTGTCATGATGCCATAGATGTCTTATTTATACTTCTCTTTGGCTTCACGGTATTAAGCATGTAGTAGATGTGTTGAAAATAATAACTGTGTGAGTGAAAAAAAAAAGTACAAATGGTGTGTTCAAAACAGGCCAGGTGCAGTGGCTCATGCCTGTAATCCCAGCACTTTGGAGGGCCAAAACAGGAAGATCACTTGAGCCCAGGAGTTCGAGACCACCCTGGGCATCATAGCGAGAGCCTCTCTTACCCCCAACCCCCACCTCCAGATATTAGCTGGGCATAATGGCAAGAGCCCGTTGTCCCCGCTACTTGAGAGGCTGAGGTGGGACGATTACTTGAGTCTGGGAGTATGAGGCTGTAGTGAGCTATGATCATGCCACTATGCTGCAGCCTGGGCAACAAGGTGAGACCCAGTCTCAAAAACAAGCCAAACCTTTATCAGTGAAAGGAAATAAATACAATACAAGCTAAAGTGAGGGGTGTGTTGTTGTATTTTGTTTTTGGATTGTTTGGAGACAGGAGGGAACCAGTGGGAAGGGAAGGATGGTACTGAGCAAAATATGAGAGTTGAAGGAATAACGGTTCGCAGTTGTTTCCAGAAAGTGGTAAGAAGAAATGGGCTTATTTATTGGGGTTAAGGAGTTAACCTTAGAAAGGAGGTAGATCTCTTTCTCTGAGGTGTGATAGAAGTGAAAGTAGACATAGTGAGAGGTAAGAATATGAAGAAACCAGTGACTCTCAGGTGATATCCTTAGGATGAGGTTTAGTGAATGAGGATTGGGGACCTTAAGGAGGTAGAAGAATTGCAATAACTATTGTGTGAGAATCATGCTAAGGAGTCAAAAGAATTCCTCAAGTTTTACCAGATAGCAGTGAAAGTGAGTCTTGATTATTTTGGAAAGGATTATCTCTAGATAGTACATCTGTTGTAGAGCTTAACTTCAGAAACTTAATGTCCATAATAATGTCGGCATATTTTGGATTGGATTGCTGTTACTACTTTATTATTTACCTATTATTCCAGCTATTTTTCAGACTGTGAAATGGTGATGTAGATGAGTTTCACTAGAAAACTTGTCATGCAAATACTAATTTTACTCATTCAGACTTTGTGGATTACAAATGTTTTAACATAAAACTTTTTTAAAATTTTTATTTATTTTATTTTTTTGAGATGGAGTCTCCCTCTGTTGCCCAGGCTGGAGTGCAGTGACACGATCTCGGCTCACTGCAAGCTCTGCCTCTCGGGTTCACGCCATTCTCCTGCCTCAGCCTCCCGAGTAGCTGGGACTACAGGCGCCTGCCACCATGCCCAGCTAATGTTTTGTATTTTTAGTAGAGACAGGGTTTCACCGTGTTAGCCAGGATGGTCTCGATCTCCTGACCTCATGATCCGCCCACCTCAGCCTCCAGAGTGCTGGGATTACAGGCGTGAGCCACCACACCCCGCCAACATAAAACATTTTTAATGTTGCTTACATTGGAGGAACTTGAAGAAAATTATAATCTGGTATCAAATGAAGATTTTTGACTATATACTTTTTAATTTGTTGTTGTATATTATAATTTAATCCTATAGAATTTGTAATTGAAGATCAGAAATTCTTCAAATGGTGAAGAGATGTTTTTCATACCTTAAAATTTAATATTTAATATCTGGATAGAGAAAGGAATAGATTGAAGCACGGGAGTTTCTGAAAAATACTGAGGTTGCTTTTTAAGTAGTAAAGATTTTAGAGTTGAGATAACTTGAGGGCTATGTCAATCTTTTATTCAATTATTTTTATTTTTATTTATTTTTAATTTATAAATTAATTTTTTAATTTTAAATTGTAGAAATGGGGTTTCACCATGTTGCCCAGGCTGGTTTTGAACTCCTGGACTCAAGTGATCCACCTTCCTCGGCCTCTTAAAGTGCTTGGATTACAGGCGTGAGCCGCTGCATCCAACCTCCTTTATTCTGTTTTTATGAGAACAAGTCAAGTTATAAAAATTTAAAAATTAGAGTTAATACAGATTTTACACTCTTACTAGTTTCCATTTTTCAAGAGACTGTTGTTCTTTGATAACCCTAAGGTCATTATAATAAAAATTAGGATTAGCTCTGCAAGTCAACTGTAAGTTTCAGATTGTTTCCATTCTTTCTTTTTTTTTTTTTTTTTTTTTTTTTTTGAGACGGAGTCTCACGCTGTTGCCCAGGCTGGAGTGCAGTGGCGCGATCTCGGCTCACTGCAAGCTCCGCCTCCCGGGTTCCCGCCATTCTCCTGCCTCAGCCTCCTGAGTAGCTGGGACTACAGGCGCCCGCCACCGCGCCCGGCTAATTTTTTGTATTTTTAGTAGAGACGGGGTTTCACTGTGGTCTCGATCTCCTGACCTTGTGATCCACCCGCCTCGGCCTCCCAAAGTGCTGGGATTACAGGCTTGAGCCACCGCGCCCGGCCTGTTTCCGTTCTTTCTTAACCATCTTCTTCTGCCCGCGTCTTTAAAAAAAAAAATAAAGACAGTAGGCTTTATGACTCTAAAATCAAATGCTTATGTTGGATTCTAATAAGGGGGTTTTATTTCAGGTGTTTGTAGGCAAAATACCAAGAGATTTATATGAGGATGAGTTGGTGCCCCTTTTCGAGAAGGCTGGACCCATTTGGGATCTGCGTCTTATGATGGATCCACTGTCTGGTCAGAATAGAGGGTATGCATTTATCACCTTCTGTGGAAAGGAAGCTGCACAGGAAGCCGTGAAACTGGTATGTGATAATTATCCACTGTCTAGCAAGTCACTATTTGAGGAAATAAACTTTAATTCAAAAATGTTTGTAGTTAACATTATTTTGATTCCTTCAGTTGTTGCTTTGAATATTTCTGTACCGACCAAGTTGGTATGTGACTTTTGCTTTTTTTCTGACTATAAAACTAAAAAAGAACTGAAAATACCCAAGAAGTAATGTTTTATAGAAAGTTTCCCATTGATTTAAGAAGTTATCTATTAGATTGATTAACATCAGAAGTTTCATATGAGTATTTGGCTTATGGATTTCTGTTTTTTGGTTTTAGGCAAAAGGATATCAATTCTTGATGTTAAACTTTAGGATTCTTATAGTATAATGAAGGCTGGAATGGGCTGTGGGGAATGTAATAGTAGATGACAGTGACTTTTAGGATTCCATTCAGAAAATAGTTGTGAATCTGTTTTATTTTTATTACAGCCTATTCATATGATTTATTTCATATTTTCTAAGTGTATTTTTGTTCGTTCTTTATGTTTCTTGGCCCTTGAGTCTTCTCTGTCTTTAATCTTTCTCTCTCCTCCTACTATTTATAGCCAGTCTCAGATTAATTTCCTTTCTTTAGAGCCTTTAACCACTTGGTGCTCATTTCAGACCAGTAGTAGTAGTAACAAAGTTTTGCAAATCAAATGTATCTTCACTCCTGCTGTATTTAAGACACAGCTATCTCAGTATCTTAAAATAACAATGTCATTTTTTTTTTTGGCATACTCTTGCCTGACATCTGAGGGGCTCACTAAGTCTGGTTCTAGCCTTTCTAGATGATCAGCCTGTTTCATCATCAAGGCTTTTGGTTTCATTACTGGTGTCTGAATCAGTTCCACTCGTAGCTTGACCCAGATTTTAGTTTTTATTATGGATTTTTCCTTCAAACTTGTTTATTTAATATTAAGTTTTCATTTTTGGCAACATATGATTTTATTTTTAATACTCATATCTCTTAGTAAACTAATAGTTAAATAATATTAAAGTATAAGAAGCTAAAATTGGCCAGATGTGGTGGCTCACGCCTGTAATCCCAGCACTTTGGGATGCCGAGACAGGTGGGATCACCTGAGGTCAGGAGTCAAGATCAGCCTGGCCAACATGGTGAAACCCCGTCTCTACTAAAAATACAAAAATTAGCTGGGCTTGGTGGCGCACGCCTGTAGTCCCAGCTACTTGGGAGGCTGAAGCAGGAGAATCACTTTAACCCGGGAGGTGGAGGTTGCAGTGAGCAAAGATTGTGCTACTGCCCTCCAGCCTGGACGACAGAGCGAGACTCAGTCTTAAAATTTAAAAAAAAGGCTAAAATTTGTCAAGAAAATCTACTGTAGTGATTTAAATAAAACACTTTTTGAAAATACTGTGTTTGGTAGACAATTTAAAACTATATATTTAGAATTCTGTGACTTCTGTAGAATTTGAAATTTTTCTAATCTAATTTACATTTCCAAGGACCCTGAATGATCAGTCTCAGGTATTTTTTTCTGAAAAATCTGTGGGAAAACATTTTCAGATAGATAAAATTAAAATATGAAATAAGATACTTTAAACAATAAAGTGAGTCATTTTTATGTGGAAGAGTAGTGAAGGTTAACAAAACCAAACTAAAACAAGAGACTGTGACAAGTTTAAAGTATACATTCATATTATGGAAAGCATGAGGGAGCTTGGTGAGTTGATGAAGCAGGGAGCATTTGGCCTTAAATTGTTGAATTTTTTTAGATTAAGATCAGTTGTCCTGAGTTTGGGGTGGTTTTGGGGTCTCTGGTTCTTTTCTTCATTGCAGTGTGACAGCTATGAAATTCGCCCTGGTAAACACCTTGGAGTGTGCATTTCTGTGGCAAACAACAGACTTTTTGTTGGATCCATTCCGAAGAATAAGACTAAAGAAAACATTTTGGAAGAATTCAGTAAAGTCACAGGTAAAACAAAAATGTATTTAGAAATTACTTTTGCGAAATGTGTTATACTACTTATAAGTGCTCACAAAAACTGAGGGGTTGTATGTATTAAATTAAGAATTCAGGTCTTCGGTGTCTAAATTGCTTCCTTTCTGCTTTATAGTGGTTTGGATTTAAACAAATTCCCTTATATCCTTCATTTCTTGGAATGTCCCCTTCACTTCTTTGTCTTAATTGAACCTTGGCTTTTGCTGGAGCTTTTGCTCTATAGCCTTCAAGTGAATGCTTTTTTCCCCCTTGACAGTTAGTGTATTTTAGGACCAAGAGAATGAAAGTTTTTACTCCCTCCCTGTTGCCTTGTCTAGATCAGATATTTTGTTTATTTGTTTGTTTTTTGAGACAGAGTTTTGCTCTTATTGCCTAGGCTGGAGTGCAATGGTGCTATCTTGGCTCACTGCAAGCCTCCTTGGTTCAAGCAATTCTCCTGCCTCAGGCTTCCAGGTAGCTGGGACTACAGGCATGCACCACCACGCCCGGCTAATTTTGTATTTTTAGTAGAGATAGGGTTTCTCCATGTTGGTCACGCTGGTCTCGAACTCCCAACCTTTGGTGATCCGCCTGCCTTGGCCTCCCAAAGTGCCAGGATTACAGGCGTGAGCCACTGTGCCTGGCCGATCAGATTTTTTAAAATATCCAATTCTAAATCCATGGAATTGATTGAGAAGTAGATTTTATATCGTAGTTCTGTATACATTTATATATAACTGAAACAATTTAACAAAACTGTACTTTTATTTATTATACATGATTTATTTTGATACTTCTTATTCTATTTCATTTTTTAAAATACCAGTTGTGATCTAATACTACCTATAATTTAAAAACACTGCGTTAGACCACTGCCTCCCCTTGTAAAAACTACTATTCCTTTACATTTTTATCATTCAGACAAATGCTTTCCCTTTTGTTGAAGCTGTCAATCATTGCTCTTCTGGTTTCAGCCTTTCATTAATCTAAAGATTGCTTCTGGCTCACTATCTTCCTCTTCTGCCCTAAATTAACTTATTTCTAGTACCTTTAACATCTACATTGGTGAACCATCCAGGGCTTTAGACTCCTACCTATTTCTATGATTACCTCATCTTTAGTCCTTTACTTCAGCTCCACCATATCCAGATTACATTCTGGATGTAGGCACCAGAAATTCTGTGCACTTTAAACTCTTAATTTCTAGCGTCTCACTTTGTAACCACTGCCACCATCCACTATATTGTGTTGTCAAATACCCCTGTTGGCACAATTCTTTGACCTCATCACTTTATTATCTATATCTCCTTCTGGCTTCATGATCATTTATTCATTCTTTCAGCAGGTGTTTATTAAAGTTTCTGTTAAGTGCTGGCATTGTGCTATGTGCCTGGGATACATTGGTGGCTAAGAGACATATTCTCTGCTTTCATAGATCCTATATCCTGGGAAAGGAGATAAGACCAAGAATATAAATAATAAAAATTAAAGGAATATTTAGACATTGTGATAAGACACTGAAGCAGGAAATATAGGATATTTAGCTAAAGAATAGCTACTATCCCTGTTTGGATGGTTCTGGAAGACTTTTCTGATAAGATGACATGTCAGCCAGCACCTGAAGGATGAAGAAGATGTAGCATACAAAGAGCAAAAGGAAGTGCATTCCAAGGCAGCAACACATGCCAAGGTTCCAAGGCAAGAAAGAAGACAGTATATTACAGTAACTGAGGAGACTAGTGTTATTAAAAGGTAGAATTAGGAATATAATTGTATGAAATGAAGTAGGCAGGGCTTCTGTAGGCCATGTAAGGAGTTGGGTTTTTATTGTATATATAATGAGAAGGCATTTAAAAGTTTTAAGCAGGAAATAACACCTGTTTCATGTTTATGGGATATTATTCCTACTGCTGTGTGGATAGGGACTTGGAGAGAAGGGGCATGAGTGGAAGCTGATAAATTAGTTGAAGCTGTCATACTAGTACAGATAGAGGATTAGACTAGCGTAATAGCAGTGGAGATAGAAAGAAGTAAATGAGTTTGGAATTGGTTAGGAGAGATGAAGTAAAGGAAGAAATCAAGAATGTCTAACCAATTTCTGGCTTCAGAACCAGGTGGATGGCACTGTTTATTAGATAGGAAGTCTAGGGAAGGCAGATTTTGGCCATGGTGGTTCAGTTTTGGACATGTTAAATTTGCGATTCTAAGACATCAAAGAGGATACATCAGGTAAGAACATAGGCACATCTAGAGCTTAGAGAAATCTGGGCTAGGAAAAAAATCTAAGCATTTGTAAGGGTATAGATAACATTTAAAAATAGGGCTAGCTGACATTATTCAGAAAGAACACATATGGAAAGATAAGGGCAAAGGACTAAGACCAGAGGAACACAAATATTTAGTGATCACTTCCATTCTTGGTTAAAAATAGTAACTTTTAAGTTAGCTTGGCCATGATTAGTTGTCAAAAGTTAGTTTTCTTGGGTTTATGTTAATAGTTTTAAGATCCTTGTTAGTGCTTTTATAGTCATGTTATATCAAACGCTCTAAAATATTGTAGCATGTTAAATGTCAGAATACAGTAGTTAGATTTGTTGTATATGGCTATACCTTAAGAACCCCTAAAATTAAAAAGGAACATCAAATACTGTCCCAAACCCCATATCTGATTATGTTGATTTAATTGTCTACTAATTGTCTACAAAGTTAGTGACTCATTTTGAGGCTGCGTCACTTATTTTTTGCTCATCGTCAAGCGGATTTAGGTCTGCCTAATCGCTAGATGTGTGGTGGATGCTTTTGGCTTATATATCTGGCTGTTGGTTTAACAGAGGGTTTGGTGGACGTTATTCTCTATCATCAACCCGATGACAAAAAGAAGAATCGGGGGTTCTGCTTCCTTGAATATGAGGATCACAAGTCAGCAGCACAAGCCAGACGCCGGCTGATGAGTGGAAAAGTAAAAGTGTGGGGAAATGTAGTTACAGTTGAATGGGCTGACCCTGTGGAAGAACCAGATCCAGAAGTCATGGCTAAGGTAAATACAGTTGCTTGGAGTGGGCATAGGGTCATCATTTAAATTTTGTACTCAGAATGAAGCTCAAATATTTTGAGTTTTATGATAAATAGAAATTGTAGCTTTAGACTTTAACTGTTTGGCAAGGAGCAGCTTTAACACTAAAGTTAACAGCCTGTCTTGGTATCCAGGAATTTCCATTAACCATCCCTTTTCCTGCAGATTAAATGTGCAAAAGGAACTGAAATGAAATTCCTTCAATTAAGTATTTTCATACACACTGGGTATTTGTTTAGTGCTCGGCACTGTGAGGGATAGAGGCTTTTTTTTTTTTAAAGGTCTTGAGTAAAGTGAGAAGTAATGTTTTGGAGATTATAAATTATAATCTTCATTGACTATATTATGCCTTATTACTTGGCTGTGAATTATGTTTTATTTAGATTTATAGCTGATTTTTCTTTTTTTAAGCTTTTTTTTAATTTTTATTTTATTTGTTATTATTACTTTTTGAGACAAAGTCTTACTGTGTCGCCCAGGCTGGAGTGCAGTGGTGCGATCTCGGCTCACTGCAACCTCCACCTCCCGGGTTCAAGCGATTCTCCTGCGTCAGCCTCCCGAGTAGCTGGGACTATAGGCGTCTGCCACCATGCCTGGCTAAATTTTGTATTTTTAGTAGAGACAGCATTTCGCCATATTGGCCAGGCTGGTCTCAAACTCCTGACCTCGTGATCTGCCTGCCTTGGCCTCCTAAAGTGCTGGGACCACAGGCATGAGCCACCGCACCCCGCCTGTTTTAAATGATCAAGTTCCATTAGTGTATTGTCCCCATGAAGAAAGGCAAAAGATTGTCGTGTTTGCTCTTATTCGTTAGTGGCAAAATATGCACGGCAAGTCCTGAAAAGGGCACTCTATTCCCTCCTAATTCCTGTGCTTGCATTGCCAGGATCTTAATAGTGGTGCCATGAGTACTGGTTCTTAATTTTTCCTTTGGGCGACTCCTGGGACACATCACAGTTGCATTTCTTTTGTTTTTTGAGGTGGAGTCTCGCTGTGTCTTCCAGGCTGGAGTGCAGTGGCGCGATCTCAGCTCACTGCAAGCTCCGCCTCCCGGGTTCACGCCATTCTCCTGCCTCAGCCTCCCGAGTAGCTGGGACTACAGGCGCCTGCCACCACACCTGGCTAATTTTTTGTATTTTTAGTAGAGACAGTGTTTCACCATGTTAACCAGGGTGGTCTTAATTTCCTGACCTCGTGATCTGCCCTTCTTGGCCTCCCAGAGTGCTAGGATTACAGGCGTGAGTCACCGCGACTGGCCTCAGAGTTGCATTTCTGCTGCTTAAAATGAGCTCTTGAGTATTTTAATTGTATCTTCCCTTCACAGGGAGGCAGCAACTCTGAATGGCCATGAGTTAATGGTTGGATTCTTCTTGATAAGTCAGAAGTCAAGGTTTTTATTCCAGAATTTGAGGAGGCAAACCCTTGCTCTAAATAGTTTGGAGGAGAACCCTGGTTTATACTTGTATGGTAAAGTCTATGTAGGCAATGACATCTTTGGGTTAAGCAGATAAGATCTATTGAGAATGAACCAGAGAGACTCTCAGAAGTGCTACTCAGTATCTTTTATCTCATATTCCTTGAGTAGATGGGTAAGGGATAGAGAATTCAAATAGCTCTTAGTTTTTATTTTAATTTTTTACTAGCTTGATTTTGATTCCCATTGTTTCTTCTCCTAATACAACTATGACTTTGGGTAAACTACTAAACACGGATGTCATCTATTTTATTGAGCCTGGATCAGTCTCTAAAGATCACCACAACTTTGAATCCACCTGTAGTAACTAAATAGCCTGTGTTGCTTTTTCTGTGAAAATATTTTAAAATAGCATTATAGATGTATTACATATTATAAAAGAGGAATAAAATCCCATGAAAACCAAAAGTATAGCTTGTAATTTGCTTACCAGCCACTTCTCACATAACCTTTAGTAGCTGCTCAGACGGAAGTTCATCCTAATCTTTTTTTAGGGTTAGAAAACTTCAAGATTTTATTCTGGTAACTCCGTTTTCGTAAATCTAAAACAGGTTTTGGAATGAAAATGAGGCCTCCATAAACCTAGGATTAAATATTGTAGAGCCCTTTATTGTTTTCTTTTTTTTTTTTAAAGAGATTGGGCCTCATTATGTTGCCTAGGCTGGAGTGCAGTAGCTGCTTACGTGTGTAATCATAGCCCACTGCAGCCTTGAACTCCTGGGCTTAAGCGTTCCTCCCGCTTCAGCCTCCTAGGTAGCTTGGGACTACTGGTGCTTACAACTGCACCCAGCTCCTTTACTGTTTCGTAATTGAAAAGAAAAGTTTATCCATTTGAGTAAAGCTTCTGTTATTCACACTATCAATTTACAATTCACTGAAGATTTTTTTGCCAAGTTGGGTCAGTTTTACAATGTACCAAAACCTAAAAGCCTAAATATATGTCTCTTAAAGGGACCCTTTTTCCTGTTGAACATTTTAAACACAGTTTCAGTAAGTGATTTTGATATAGTATGTTAACAGTTTCATCATAGAAAATTCCATGTTGAATTTTTTTTAAAAGCAACTGAGCCAGTGGGAGTCTGTGTAACATAGAGGCTGGACCTTAGTATGATAAATTGAGAATAATAAAGGGGATGGAGCATTTGTGAAAAATGTTAGTTTTTTTTCCTCTTTAAATTAGTAACTTCTTATTAGATAGTCCTGTATCTGAAGCAACAAGTTGTTCAATATGTTAGTTTTTTATTTGGATAGGTACTATATTTTCTTAGTTTAAAAGTTATATGGAAAAGTATAGACAAAGAAATTTCCTTTCTACCCCTATGCCTATGTCTACCAAATCCCCTTTGTCCCCTATAAGGCATCCAGTTTTAGTAGTTTCTGGTTTATCTTTTTAGTATTTCCTTAGGCAAATATGAATATACTTCCTTAATTCTTACATGAGTGGTAGTAATGTTGGCAGCCTACTATATTCACTGATCTACTTTTTGTTTATTCACCATCCTGTTTCATCAGCTCTGAGAAAATACACTATTATTATATGAACCACTAAGTAGTTATAAAACACTGCCAACTAAACTATGGCACAGTACTTGCTTATCACATTGACTGTAAGTTGTTTCTTTATTTCAGAGATGTAAAAACAGGAAAAACAGTGTACCCTGTCAATCTCTGTTAGCTCATAGAGCTCTTCTTCATTTTTTGGGTTTTTTTTTTTGAGACGGAGCCTTGCTGTGTCACCCAGGCTGGAGTGCAGTGGTACAATCTTGGCTCACTGCAACCTCTGCCTCCCGGGTTCAAGCGATTCTCCTGCCTCAGCTTCCCGAGTAGCTGGGGTTATAGGTGCCTTCTACCACACCTGGCTTATTTTTGTATTTTCAGTAGAGACGGTGTTTCACCATGCTGGCCAGGCTGGTCTCGAACTCCCAACCTCAGGCAATCCGCCCACCTCGGCCTTCCAGAGTGCTGGGATTACAGGCGTGAGCCACTGTGCCCAGCCCTCTTCTTCATTTTTTATGACTACATAGTAGTCTATTCTGTACTATAGTGTATTTAACCAGCTGGATATTGAATTGTTTCTGATCTTTTGCTCTTACAATGCTGGAATGAATAAGTTTATGTTAGTTGATACAAGTGGAGATATATCTGTAGGATAGTTCTTAGGGGTAGAATTGTGGGCCAAAGGGTAAATACATCTGTAATTGTTAAGATACTGCCATATTCCTGTCTGTAGGAGATACACTATTTTACATTCCTACTAGCAAAATACAAGATAATTATTTTCCTCATTCTTGACAAAATAGTGTATGATCAAACTTTTGAACTTTGCCAACCTGATAACAAATGGTCTCAGTGCCATTAATGATTAATGATTTGCGTCTCTTACTATGAATGGTTTGAACTTTAAATATATTTTAAGAGCCATGTGTGTTTCTTTGTATGAACCACATATTCGTGAATTTTGCCTATTTTTCTATTCAGTTGTTGAGCTTTTTCTTATTTTCTGGTTCTCTGATATAAAAGAGAGATTAGCTGTTTGTGATACATGTTGCAAATACCTCATCCATATTTATTGTCTTTGCTTACAGTATTTGTTGCAATATAGAAGTCATTTATTTTTATATATCATTCTTATGGCTCCTAGATTTTAAGTCATAAGGTCATCCCCACTCCAGTGTTACATGAAGGAATCATTCTTGTTCTGATACTTTCACAGTTCTCCCTCCACCCTTTTATTATTTAAATTTTCAATCTATTTGGAGTTTATCCTGGTGTATAGTGTGAGGCATGGACCAGCTTTTCTCCTTTTTTTCTAATTAACACTACCTGATTTAATGATTTAAGCATTATAGTTTGTTTATATTCGGTAGGGCCAGTCTCTAAATTTCACTCTTTTTTTTCCTGGTTATTCTTGTTTGTTTATTTTTTCATATGAACTTTTGAAAGTTATTCAGTTTTAGAGGAAAGAAACAGAAAAACTTGTTTTGAAAGGGACTTGGAGACCATGTTAAATTTGTTGATTAGCAATAATAATTATGTGTTGGTTCTTTGAAGGTTCTATTCAGTGTTAGGTGCTTTAATGACAACATAGGAGAAGGCAAGAACCAATAATTTTTATAAATTGGTGACTGATATCAGTGTCATTTTCCTAGCAATTTCTCGTACTACCTGTAACAACACTTTCAGCGCTTAATGTTTTAGAGGAGAAAAGCCTATGCTATGAAGACAGGAAGAAACACTTTTCAGGTAAAATTAAGTAGCCAATGACAGTTTTGTTTATTTGTTGCTTACTAGGTAAAAGTTTTGTTTGTGAGAAACTTGGCTACTACAGTGACAGAAGAAATATTGGAAAAGTCATTTTCTGAATTTGGAAAACTCGAAAGAGTAAAGAAGTTGAAAGATTATGCATTTGTTCATTTTGAAGACAGAGGAGCAGCTGTTAAGGTAGAAATTTTGAAATTTTGGTTCTTGATATTTGAATTTTGTTTCTGAAACCTGCCAAACACGTAAAGTAATGTTAAAAACTGAAGTAAAATTGACTGTTAGCTTTTGCTGAACTCTTTCTATTTAATCTCTGTTAAGTGGTAATAGTATAACAGATAAGACTCCATATTTCAAAGCCAGATTATTACTGAATTTGTGATCTTAGGCAAGTTATTTTTAATCTCTATTGTTTTGTAAGATTTGATAGCATGATGCCTTGGAAGTATTACAAGGTATAAAAATTAGCTGCTGTAAACACTAAATAGGTAATGAATATATTATAACTACTTAGTTTACCTCAGTTTGTGTACCTGTGAAGGAAACTGAGTGGTGTACATGACTCATACAGTATTTGAGTAGATGTATTGTGATGAGGGTATGATTAGTTTTACCTTTATTTAATCATTTTAGAGTTAAAATAGCATTCACTATGTTTTACTGATTTCAGTAATTGTTAGAGATATCTCTTGTGTATAATAGTTGATTTAGTCTTTGATGATAATAAGTATGAAGAAAGTATTTTCATATGGTATTTGGAACACAAAACCTGCTTTCTATTGACAATGGGTTCGGACTATCTTTAATGGGTGAAATTTTCAGTTTCTTTTTCTTGTTCATCTCTCCTTCCTTGAGGGGATGGGAAGCAAGACAAAACACTACTAAAATCTTTTTTATGTTACTGGGAAGATAGATCCAGAATGCTTAGTGACACAGGCATGGTTCTTTTTTGGCATGTTTGGTTGGTGGGATACTACCACCTCTAATTTGAGCATTTTTTGGTTTTGTTTTTTGCCCAGGGTGTTGCTTTTAAAACAGGCTTTCTAGAATCTCTGACTCGTTTATAGTTAATCGGCTTGCTCATTGATGATAGCTAATTAATGAGGCAGTATTGTTCATAAAATTCATAACTTGTCCAAGATCACAAACTCAGTAATAATCTGGCTTTGAAGTATGGAATCTTATCTGTTATACTGTTACACTCTTATCTGTTAATGTGTGGCGTCTGAAATTTTTACTGGTATAGAATGCAGATAACTAATAATTTTATGCTTTCCAAATATTCCTCCTGACTCAACTGGTTTTAAATAACTGGTTGTCCTGATGGAAAATATTTATAGGATGGTTTGCCAAGGAAGCCTATTAAATTATAAAATATCTAGTCCAGGAACTGGGAGTCACCAGGATGGTCGGGGCAGAGAGTAGATGTTTCATTTTTTAATTTATGCCAGGAAGCTTTTGTAAACTTGTTTAGTTGCTTTTACTGAAGCAGTACAGGGAAAATTGCAATCTTGAGGACTAGTTTCATTTTTGTCTAGATACTTATAAATCACTAATAGCTCGTTATAAATAGAACATTTTTTTATGTGTGCCCAGAGTGGGGAGAAAGGTATAGGGAAACAAAAAATAAAATATGAGGAGATGACATTTTGTTACTGAGTACCTGAACCTTTTGATGTATGGCAGAGGTTGTTGGGTGGAACAACATGAACAAAGGGCTAGAACATGGAATGTTTGATTACTGCTTTCTACGTAATTGCTTGAGTCTTCATTAGTCCAGGCCTTTTCTGGCTCTGTACTTTAAACTGTTCAAGCAAAATACATTTCGAGTTAAGCATTGTGAGGGAAACTTAGGTTTTTTTGTGTTGGTATCTTGAATTTTACAGATAATCTCACTCTGTAACCTCATTTGTGCTTCAGATCCTTGAAATTTTTGTATAAGAACAGTGTAAGACCTGTGTGTTGTATGCTACATGTTTATTTAAAAATTCTAATCCTGAAAAGTTAATCTTTGGTTCGTATTAATATTGGCATTTTTCCCTGGTATGGATTTGCTTCTTTGGTGTGGATTTGCTTCTTAGGTATGGCTTATCTTTTAAGGAGTTAGTTATTTGGAATTAAGGAGCAGCAATAGGTGGCAGCCCTTTTACCTTTTAAAATACAGTATCAGGAGGTAGGTTTTGTTCTAAATGTCATTTACATATAAAAAGATAAGGTCTAGGGAAACGTATTTTCTTTGTGTTTGTGTTTAACTTTCTGGCTAGATTCACCTTTTGGCCATTTAAAATAATTGTGCAGTAAATTATTAAGTATATTAAATGAGTCAAGTATGATAGCATGCACACTATATAAAACATATAGTTTTATATCATAAAATAAATTAATTTTTCAATTTTTTATAGGCTATGGATGAAATGAATGGCAAAGAAATAGAAGGGGAAGAAATTGAAATAGTCTTAGCCAAGCCACCAGACAAGAAAAGGAAAGAGCGCCAAGCTGCTAGACAGGCCTCCAGAAGCACTGCGTGAGTCTACCTTTTAGTAGATATGTCTTTGGACAAGGAATCTCCATTTGATAATGGAGATTGGATTAATAAAACACAATCAGAGTCTTGAAGCAAACTGATTTGTTTTTTCTTTTCTCCCTTCCCTCCTTTGCTAGGTATGAAGATTATTACTACCACCCTCCTCCTCGAATGCCACCTCCAATTAGAGGTCGGGGTCGTGGTGGGGGGAGAGGTGGATATGGCTACCCTCCAGATTACTATGGCTATGAAGATTACTATGATGATTACTATGGTTATGATTATCACGACTATCGTGGAGGCTATGAAGATCCCTACTACGGCTATGATGATGGCTATGCAGTAAGAGGAAGAGGAGGAGGAAGGGGAGGGCGAGGTGCTCCACCACCACCAAGGGGGAGGGGAGCACCACCTCCAAGAGGTAGAGCTGGCTATTCACAGAGGGGGGCACCTTTGGGACCACCAAGAGGCTCTAGGGGTGGCAGAGGGGGTCCTGCTCAACAGCAGAGAGGCCGTGGTTCCCGTGGATCTCGGGGCAATCGTGGGGGCAATGTAGGAGGCAAGAGAAAGGCAGATGGGTACAACCAACCTGATTCCAAGCGTCGTCAGACCAACAACCAACAGAACTGGGGTTCCCAACCCATCGCTCAGCAGCCGCTTCAGCAAGGTGGTGACTATTCTGGTAACTATGGTTACAATAATGACAACCAGGAATTTTATCAGGATACTTATGGGCAACAGTGGAAGTAGACAAGTAAGGGCTTGAAAATGATACTGGCAAGATACGATTGGCTCTAGATCTACATTCTTCAAAAAAAAAAATTGGCTTAACTGTTTCATCTTTAAGTAGCATTTTGCTGCCATTTGTATTGGGCTGAAGAAATCACTATTGTGTATATACTCAAGTCTTTTTATTTTTCCTCTTTTCATAAATGCTCTTGGACATTATTGGGCTTGCAGAGTTCCCTTATTCTGGGGATTACAATGCTTTTATGGTTTCAGGCTTCATTTTAGCTTCAAAACAAGCTGGGCACACTGTTAAATCATGATTTTGCAGAACCTTTGGTTTTGGACAGTTTCATTTTTTTGGATTTGGGATAGATTACATAGGAGTATGGAGTATGCTGTAAATAAAAATACAAGCTAGTGCTTTGTCTTAGTAGTTTTAAGAAATTAAAGCAAACAAATTTAAGTTTTCTTGTATTGAAAATAACCTATGATTGTATGTTTTGCATTCCTAGAAGTAGGTTAACTGTGTTTTTAAATTGTTATAACTTCACACCTTTTTGAAATCTGCCCTACAAAATTTGTTTGGCTTAAACGTCAAAAGCCGTGACAATTTGTTCTTTGATGTGATTGTATTTCCAATTTCTTGTTCATGTAAGATTTCAATAAAACTAAAAAATCTATTCAAAACATTACCTATTTCAAATTCAATTGTGTCCTAAAACATTATTTTATTCGTAATCCTTGCAAGGAATATTGTTTTCAAAGTATAACTGCCTATGTGAGTGATCAAATTCATGCAAAATTTCTTGTCTATTCCAACATGTATTGTGGATATTAGACTGAGGATTAGTCTAAATTCAAGTATTTATTCCAATTAGCACTTCATTGATTGGTGTTCTCTCATAGTCTCTTCTAATTTTGAAATTTTATCTTTTATTTAAAAAAAAAAACAGGTTCATAGACTTTTGAGCATTCTTGCAGGCATTGGATAATTTGTGTTAAAACAAATAAAATGTGGCTGGGAAAGCAGACTGCAATCTATTTTGACCCACATTCTTTATAAGGGATAATTTGTGACTGAAGACCTTATTTGCTGGATAAGTGAATGTACATACAGGGAAAACTGTTAGTACTGTGGCGTCAATTGCACTGCGGACTTTAGTTTTAGTAAACGTGATTGTGACTACCATTTCAGTTACTGGTTTAGGAATATAATTTCCTATTACTATGTAAATTTGCTTTGAGAAACATTCATGCCTTGTAAGAGAGGCTTAAAAATATCCAGTAGTAATACCTCTTTCTGTTAACATCTCGTTTATTTTTATTTATCTGCTATCCCTAATGCCTATATTTTTTGTTGGCCAAGACATAACATCTATTTCCCTATTTCCTTTTGAAATTCTGATTTATTCTAATGACTTTTTTGCTTGAGAATGAGAGGAACAAAATAATCTAAGCTTTATGGTACAGAAAAGTCTGAATCACTTTCAAATTACTATTAAGTTTTCCCCTCCATCTTATTCTTACGTGGTTCTCAAATGTTTTTATAATGATAAAAATATCAGAAGCCATTGGGGAATAATTAAAATGGATACACCATTATTCTGTGTTTTGTTCCTGTTTGGTGTCTTTGTGATAGGAATATTAGATTTCAAAATCATAAGCCACTTAATTCCGTGTAATCTTGGTTAGATCATACTGGGTTTCATGGCTTCTTTTCGTTTCAAATAAGATTAATATTTACTGATGAAAGTCAATATATTTCATTTCTTTTTCAAAGTACACTTATTACACAGTATAGTCATTTAACAGACCTTATTGATATTTTAGTTTTTTGGAAACTGATAAAGGAATTATGGTCTGTTGTTGTATGATAGTTTTGAGTTAACATGGGTATTTCTTTGGTAAGACAGATCCAGTTGTTTTTCTTATGCCCATGTAAGTAAAGACACCAAACATTCTTTAAATGCTGCTTTTAAACTTTGAAAATACAATTTGAAGTTGTAACTATACATCTAATTAGACTTAAGTAAAATCCTGATTTTTTTCTTGGAAAGAACAAAATCTACAAATAAAATTTGAGTTGTTTGTATTTCTTAATTAGGTGTTACAAGCTACAAAGTTGTCATAAAGAATCTTAAGAATGGGGATAGAAATGATTCTGAGAAAGCATAAACCCTCGCAAAAACTGTAAGATTAAAACTTGGGTTCCATGTCAAAATCCTTTAATTGCAAATTATATTTTGAATTTTAAAGTGGCCACCTCCTCCTCTGTCCTTTTCACTAATTAAAAATATATTTGCAGAGGTACCCTTTAATTTTTGGTTTAGAGGTTTTGTGGCTATTTAAAATTGTAAAACATAATCCTATAAACATTAAAACTCAAGAGCTTTTCTTCTTTCATGTCTTATAAATTAACACTGTAGCAGCATTCAGAGAAAATAGATTCAGAGGTCAACTTTTCACATAAATAAATCTAACAGTGTAATATATAAACCTGAAAAATGTCAATTGAGGGAGGTCTTTATTCTAGATTGGCATTTTAAAAAAAATAGGTACAAATTATGAGTTCTAAGGAACTTGGTTTCCTGCTCTCCTGTCTTTCCATCTTTTTTGTTCCCCAAGCTAATTGATTTGGCTTTATTTATGAGCCTGTTACAGTAAAGTGTGTGTTGGGAAATATATTGAGGTGTAGAACTATTCTTTGTAGGTACCCTTGTGAGACTGATACAGATATGCTCCTCCCCATAATGGAATACTAATTTTTATTTGATCACTCATTTATAGCAGTTGCTTAAATGTATGTATTTATATGAAGGTATTTTAATTTTTAAGAGCAAAAAAGTTCTAATAAGTTTCCAGATTTCTAATAAATCCAGGTTTATTTGTTGAAAAGATAAGGAAAATGAGTTACGATTCTATAGTTTTTTTTAAAATGAATTCAGCATAATTGTTTTTCAGGTTTTTTTAGTTACTGGGGTTATTCTGCATAAGAAAGCCCAATGCTTTCTGATAGTAGGAGGTAATTTTTCTCTCTTTTGACTTTGAAATCTGACTTAGGAGATGAATTCTTTTTAAACAGGTCAGCATGCAACAAAATAAATTATATATTTTAAATTTTAAAAGAGAAGGGACATAAAATTTCACTTCTAGCATAAAGCCATATAATATTATTCTTGAAACTCATTACATCATTTGCCTCCTGCCCATTTGAATATAATCATACCTGCGTTTTATTAATTGTGTATTTGTAAAACCAAACCCTTCCAGTAAATACTTGCTATAAGGCTATTGCTTATTAGTTATCAAGGCTTCTAAATATGTTAAAACTTGTCATTTTGATTTTTCAAAGAGAATTTTATTATACTGAGCTACCAGTATTCTTAAAGAAAACTAACCAAAGTTAATTTTAGTGTTGTCCATTATTTTGTGAACAATTATTACGTGGAATCTCTTAAGTGAACAGCTAAGAAAAAGCCTTATAGAAAGACTGCACTGGATTTATAAGTGTGTTTATGTTTCTCTAAGAATGGGAGCTTCTGTTAACTTAGGGGTGGAGTTGTTCTGAGGAAACCAGTAGATTTGATGACTGACTGGAGAATCCAGAATAACAAATCCATTAGCCAGACATGTTTACTTTTATATTAGAAGTTTGTTGATTAGGTCTTAATTTTCAAATGCAAACACCAAGCTTTAAAAATACTGCATGTATAATGTATTGGTCAGCAATTTAATAATATTTAATTTGAAGTTAATGATTGTTAATTCTTCCAGAAAAGTTTTTTTTCTTTAAATAAAAATACGTGTATATACTTTTTTATTTAGAGGTTACCAGAAGCTCTGGTTTTGTTTTGTTTTGTTTTTTTGTTTTTTAATCATTTTCAGATGTTATCCAGAAATCTGCAAGTGTACTTTTCCTGTTTTAACTCCTTCCTTTTATCACCTGACTATCAGGGAAGCGAGGTTGAGGCTGCCCTGACCTGACATGTCATGATGTCGACTTGCTAGGTGGGGTTCGCTGGGGACGATAACCAGTGGAATTGTTGGTAAGAACTTTTTTTTTCCTATTTTTTTTTTTATCAGTAGTGGGGCATTAAGTGTGGGAGAATGCCCATATCCTATAAGTGGGCAATTATGTCAGCCTTGTAGAAAACTAGGACTTTAATATTAAATTATTTCTGTTCTTAATAGGAACATATAATAACACTTTACTTACTCTTAAATTGGTAGCAGATCAGCAAGAAAGGCCTGCAAATATGAAGTAAGAAATACTCAGGGTATATTTTAAGTGAGCAAAATAGACACCTTATAATCTTAAAAAGTGTTGGAGAGATAATAAATTTGCTTTAACTGTCATTTCATTCTAGTATTATATTTTCTATATTTTGTTGGATAGATTAACATAAAATGTATCTTAAAGAGATATTTATTGCACATTAATTGTAGTAAAAAGAAGACATTGATAGAATGGAGGGTTTAAACACCAAAGATACTATTTTTAAAAATCTTCCAAACTAATCTTAACATTGTAAAATGGAACTTTAAAAAGTTTCAGCAGGCTGACAATAATGGCCTCAATTTAGAGATATATTGAGACAATGACTTTGGGTCAAGAGGAAATTATATAGCTGAAATATTAAGACTTTGAACATAGCAGAAACAAACCTATGAACAACTTGTGTTTTGTGTGAAAGCTAGGATAGCTGATAGGATTAGTAGATATTGGTAGAATTGAGTCAATATTTAAATTATTGCTGAAGATTAAAATCCCTCATCTTATAGTCTGTAGGGGATTCCATGGTGGTAAGGTAGAGATTGAAATTAAATTTAGTAACTAGGCATTTCTGACCATATCATATAAAAAAATAATTGTAATATGGTATAAGCACTGATTAAAAGTAATTATGAATTTTCATGCCTGAAGAACCTCAGTATTCTTATAGCACTGTATCTTTATTGGTTGAGAATATCAGTCTAGAAAGAATTTCCTAGATGTTAAACGTGCTAGTCAGTGTCATGAATATAAACCCTTACCTGTAAGTTTGCTATAGACTAGTTGTGCAACACTGGAATGAAATTATATAATACTTTTAAGAATTGGCAGTGATTGCAGGGTTGTGTTAAGGTAACATTTTATGCATGTATCAGTGACAGAAAGGATCAGGGTATAAAACTTGCACTAAATAGCCTGCTCCTTAGGAAGTTTCAAGGTAAACAGTAGGAATATTCATGTAATTCTGATGAGTTTATGTAAGTTAAGGAAAATGCAATGCCAGTTTGTTAGCTTTAAACACTTAGAACAAAATACATTTCATGGAACCAACAAAGGAGACATTCTGGGGAAAAACTTAAATTGCTCAAATTTAAATAAGGGCTCTCACTTTATTTAGTAGATTTGTCAGGATCCCATGAACATTGCTTTTCTTGATTCCTCACATATGAGGGTTGGGCAAAAGGGACTTCTCTAGCCTGTTCAATAACATAGGTAGACTTGTACTTAGTGAATCCTATTGTAATATTAGGTACTATGTTCTAAGACTATTTCTATAATTGGGCTGAAGGCTCCTGCAAACATAAATCGCTGATATGGATATAGTAACATAAGAAATATCAAAATAGGGACATTTGCAAGACCTTTTCCATTTAATCATCAGTTTAATAAAAATCCTTTTGGTACAGTGTTCATGTACCATAACTGTATTGGAATA